AAGTTCATTCAGCTCCAGAAATGACTCGTGCATATTGCCCAGGCACGACAATTGTCTGCCAGCTCTTCACAGATCGAGATCCAACGTAGGGTCCAGCGACGAACTCCGTAGACAACTTGGAGACTTGGCTTCTCCTTGTCGCTCCTCACCGTACTCAGCCAGGTTTCCGGTTGTCATCTGTGGCAATAATGTCATCCTTGGCATCACATTGCTGATTTCGGGATCGTTCCCGCTCAACGCGTGCTCAAACTGTTACAGACATCGATGCTAAAGGAGTGTGAATAGTCGTGGTTCGTCTTGTGTACGTTTTTGGTTCTGGTCGCTCAAAAACTAGAATGTGTACACGCCGTTGGTTTTCTCATTTAGTCTGTCCATTAGGTAAAATGGCGTGACTAAAGTATTTGAAGTCAACAACCTGCTGGATTATTCCACCTTTTACCTTGAGCCGAATGGGCACGTCTACACAGTTTCAGGAGTTTGTCTTGAACTTATTGACAAGTGCTGCTTATTGAGTTAGATTATTCGGCACACGTTAAATTATTCCAAGTCAAGTTTTGTAACTTAATCGTCTCGTTCGAGTGACCAGCTGACTGCGACGTTAGAGACCACCGGCGAAAGTGGGCGGCGTCATTGTACGCCACACTCATTGTCGACTCTGTACCCTCTACACCCAAGCAGGGGGGTTAACCAATAAGTAACAGGTTTTTGTGAAACCTGTCAGCTCCGTGGGAACACCGTCGGCTAATATGACTGTCTACGGTGACTTACGGTTAGTCAAATCCAACGCAGCGCGACATTCGAGAAATTGTACTGTGCTAGGTTGCATGAATGCGAATCGATGTTATGCTGTTCGTCATGGACAACATGTTGAGTCCGCACAGCCTTTTGAGCATCTGATCCAGATGCGTTTCGAAATATGCTCGAAAGCCCGAGATAGCCGAAAGGTCAAGGCTGCGGGATTGCTGACCAGAAGGTTGCAAAAAGTGCTCGACCCATCGGTTGATGCGTCCTTTACTCAACCTGGTCGCATCACTTAATCCTTGGTGGTTTCACCCAGAGGCGGTATCCGGCGTCTGGTCGCACGGATTAACTGGAATAACCTGACATGCCCAGCTTCCTGACCTCTTCCATTCCCATGGCCTCCCGTGTCCAGGTTTCACGGTCTGCATGCACGCTAAGCTTGATTTGGTGTCTGATAATTCATCGGGCCAAGTTATGTCCCGGACGGGCGGGAATATTTCTTTCGGCAGTGCCACTGTTCTGTCGAAATCCAGTACTCGAATTAACCTGGTGGCGCCACGCCACAGGCAAAACGTTTAGCACTGTGCAAATGTGTAGCAATATCGTTCCAGCACGAATTGCCATCTGACAGTGGAGCGATTGGGAGAGAGTCCAGAAGACGACAGTAAGAGCACGGTAGTCATATTGAGATACACCAACCCTGGGAAACAGTTTCGTTTTCGGGTTAAACACAACAGTCTGTAGATTGCTTGTAAGAGGCTGAGATACCGGATTTGTAGACTTCAGCTATTATCCTGTCTTTACTACCCTCTGCTCAGCTGCTTGACGACCCGGTTTACGTGGCTCTTCACAGTTGACTTCGTATCGTATTGAGGCTGGGCTGGTTGCTTAACGAATGGTTTAAGAGTGGTCAAAATACTCCGCTTGTCGCCTCATCCTCGCCGTGGCTGTCGAGAAATTCCCCAGGTGTTCCGAATACTGTTAAGATCGAAGGTTTCCTTGCGAGTATTAGGCGCAAGTGCTTATCGAAATCATCAACGCTGGAAGCAGATTCCGTGTCTGCTGCCTTCTCAGAACTGTGATCTTTGTTAGCAGATCAAGTGTCCTGTAGCCGAATGAGGTCCCCGTAACCGCTCCCTTTGCGCCTGGCCATTGACTCTAGAAGTGACAGCCAATCGATGTCAATGGCGTTAGTGTTGTCATTTTTTCCAAATTGTGGTTGAGCGTTTGGAGGTGTAGGTACCTCAGAGTGCTTGAGATAAGTTAGGTCTAGGTCTCTCCGTTCACTCCCTCCACACTGCCGTACGGTATTTAAGCATCAGCGTAAACACTTATTGTTTCTGGTAATGACGATGATGCACTTTGGTCTAGAGTGAGCTTGTCGATCATTGTTGACGGTTTGTTTCTCACGCTGGTTCATCTAGTTCTCCTCTACCACAATAAGGTCTTTCAGTGATGAGTTTGTGTCTCGAAAAGCCATGTTTTAGCCGGGTCTGTTATGCGGTCCCAGAAGTTGTTAGTGCTAGGTCTCATACATGTCAGATTCTATGCCTGAAATGGTCAGTCGAGTCGCCGCAATCGGACTTGAAAGGCTAGTTTTAGAGGGCTATGCGTCTCAGGGTCTGCGCTCGGTTTCCAGTCAAGAAGTCTCAGATTCTCCCTTTAAGTCTTCCCGTGGTTCCGTTACACTTTCTGCTTGTATTTTATGTAGCCCGCGCAATTTTTGTGCTAATTCAGACGTTGATGTGCTTGGGCGTTGAACTGGTTGAGATTCCGTTAACCTAACTTGAAACTTCTGAACATTGTGTTTTGTACTCGTTCACCAGTCATGTAGGCTGGTACCGGTGAATCCGTGACGAAGCAACTAGAGGGCGAGTATTCGGTTGTGCGGTAGAAATTTCGATCGAGGATTCTCTCTAGCACTAAAAGCTGAGTTTGTTAGGCCATGTACTGTGAATGCCGAACCGTCGTTTGCCGAAGAGAGCGCATTTTCCATGCCCAATTCAGAGTGGTACGAGCAGAGAGGTGACCAACCTTTGACCTGGCAGAAGGGTTTATAAAGGAGCACGAAAAGTCTGGGTGCTGTCGGTGCGACTCACCTTCTGTGGTGAAGACCGCCTGAAACCCACCGCGCTTTGTTGGAGACGCTGCAAGATATGCCTATTCATCGATGCTACTGACGTCTTCGTTGCCAGTTTCTATTCAGATTGAACGAATGAGTGTCTGATGTAGGCACCTTAGAATGTTTGTGTTAACCTAGCATCAAGTCCATTCCCCATCCAACTTTATTCTTCACTACAAGGCTCTCAAATAAGTTGCGACTGTACTACAACGGAGTCTCATTGTCAACACTGATGTTTCGATGACGACTGGTGTTATACTGAAATGATACATAGTTTTTGCATGACCCTCGCATGTGTTGTTAACATGTAAAGTTTAAAAGTAAAAAGACGTTCACTAGACCCCTGATGCTAACAATCCGATTCACATAGATATAACTTTGAGGTCGAGGTGCCCACAGATGTGTCAGCTTATGATCGATGCAATTCGCGCGCATCCTTTGTCTCCTCAACTTCTTCCAGTCACCGCTTTTATTTGGACTTCCGATAAAGATGTGAATATAAGTCGACTAGTGATAGCCGCACTGATTCCGTAAGCGTCAAACACCATGGCTGTCTTTTGTGGTAACGAGTCACAAGTCAAATCGACGGTGCCTCGTTCTTCTCCTCGGAGGAAGGGGCATGCGAATGGCGAGAGGAAGCCCTGTAGCCTGGGGTGGATTTGGGTGAACGTTGTTAGCTGCCTTTTAGTGGTGATTACGAGATCTCATTTCGCTACAGTGTCATGAAGTTTACATATGGTCTGTCTGGTATGGGTATGGGTTGATCGTGCACGACAGCCTTTTGCCTCACAGTTACTGCTGCTTGGCCCATCAGTCTGACAGATTATTCCTGTTAGTGACAATTAGGTCGTCTACCTCATAACCACCAAATCGCTATAACAGCACAAGACTGATGTTTAACTTCCATGTAACTAGGTGGACCTAAATAAACTCATTTAGTGAAATGAACAAGACACAAGAGGGAGGGCGACCCACTGCCCACTTTGTGTTGATAGAAGAGATGTGGACATTTCCAGACAGTCAGAATATGTAGATAGGAACGGCTAACACAGCGCCACTTACGTCTGCTGGTAGCCATGTATGCGACTTTTCGACCTAGCGTACAAGTCAGAGGATAGCTGTGCAGCCCTCTGCACACGAGATCATTCTTAATGTCAGGCATGAAGCAACTTTTGATCTGGCGGAAGCGGTTTAAAGCAATCGCAAACTCTGGGTCCTTCCAGCACAGGATCCATATGACCCTGTCTACACTTGGAGGTAGACCGCTAGTCTTTTTCCAGGACGGATGCTTCGAGGTGTCGGCAGACATACGACGGGGCGAGATGCCTCAAATGGTTAGAACGCGAATTTACTGATCGGAAGGTTCGTGGTTCTAACCCAACCTCTGCCCCTCGACTTCCCCTGTCTCGGCTTGGGCAACCTGACAATATCCCAGTCCTCGTGCATCCTTCGGGTAGTATGGTAGCTAGGCACCGGAAGGGTATTACAGCTGAACGATTTTATTTTTTTAGGTATGTTGACACTAAGCTCTTTCTTTCCTCTCTTGTTCTTTCACAATAAGACCATAAAATGACGTTTGTATGGCAACGAAGTTGTGGGTCATGTTACCTTGGGTTCTATTATGCTTATATAGACGGATTCGTTGATAGAATTCAGATTTTGGAGTATGGATTGGGGGGCTATAGCGCTTTGCAACCGCAAACGGCCGGAATAACCGAAAAGATTTTGGAGGGGGTATCTGCTCGTCTGTTTTATTGATAGCATTTTGGTTCCTCTTTTATGCTGTTGACTCAGGATGGGTGAGCAGGCCGCGTGCTTGTCCGCGTATGCAATAGTGTACCATGTTGAAGCTATTGCATCACTTAATTCCTGGACAGCGAGTAGAACCCACTAGATACCAGTCTATATAACACCCACTTAAAGCGGAATAACTCCTGGTCCTACCGCATCGCTTCAGGCCTGCAACATTTTGAGACAACCCAACACCAACCGTAAAGCCGCCACACTATTAGTAACACCAATTAGAAACCGAGACTTTTCCTCCTAGTGAAACCCACCACATTTGGCATGCGTTGGGTAACTGGTAAGTAGCAATGGACAGTGTTGACGTATCACTTTGTGGCCTCGCCATTCTTTTATTTTGTATTCATTTCCTCTAGCCCGAGAATGGCAGCAGTTACAGTCGAAAAAATTTGCGGAGAAACGCAAGTTTGGGTTTGTCGAAGCTCAGAAGGAAGAGATGCCTCCAGAACATGTGCGGAAAATAGTCCGTGACCATGGTGATATGACCAATCGAAAATTTCGGCACGACAAGAGGGTTTACTTGGGGGCATTAAAGTACATGCCCCATGCTGTGCTGAAGCTATTAGAAAACATGCCAATGCCGTGGGAACAAATTCGTGATGTGAAAGTAAGACAGTTTCTAATGCTCGTCATTAAATTTAGGTGCTTTATCACATCACTGGTGCAATTACATTTGTTAATGAAATACCATGGGTCATAGAACCGGTATACATTGCCCAATGGGGAAGCATGTGGATTATGATGCGCCGGGAGAAGAGGGATCGTCGCCATTTCAAGCGCATGCGCTTTCCTCCATTTGATGACGAAGAGCCCCCTTTGGATTACGCAGATAACGTTTTGGACGTTGAACCTTTGGAACCCATCCAGTTGGAAATGGATCCAGAGGAAGATGGTGCAATAGCTGAGTGGTTCTACGACAGAAATCCTCTCGTGGATTCCAAGTGAGTCGTATTGGTTTTCGAGCAACTTGTGGTATTTTCGTGCGTTTCAATTTACTGGTCATCACAATATTTGCTACCTTGTAAGAAATCGTGAATCAATGTCTAGTTTTCAGGCCCATAGATTGCTTCCAAAACACTGTTTGTGCATGTACTGTAGTGGCTAGGTAACCTAGGGACTGGCATCTGCCCCTCAATGACCTCTTCTTCAGCGTATTATTAGGCGCATTCATTGCAGTCGACTGAGTGTTATATTTTGACGGATTCATGTGGGGACGTGATGTGAGTGACATACTTACGGTCAAGTCTTCCGTTTTGGAGTTGAACGTCCAGACCTTTCACAGCATGCGTTCTGTAATACAGCAACGAAATTCATGAGATTGAATAGTAGCGCCCTCACTGCCGTTGTTGGCTTGGAATCTTAGTTTGGTAAGCTCACAAAAGATCGCCAGCCGGGTTGTGGCATCCCGACAATCGCCTTCGTCTTCCTCCGGAAATACCGTCAAAAGAAGGCTCTGAATCAAACTTAGCACTTCTCTTAAGATTATTGTAGTCTGATATGGGTGGCGACCTCTTCAAGGCACATTCCGGTCACGCTGAAGCGTTTGAGGGTAAATACTTAACACCTCAAGCTTTTGCTTACAGCACGTTGCAAATGGCCATAATAAAGCAGACGAAAATTGACTAACATTGAACGCCCAAGTACGTCTTGCCTGCTTACCTTACTCTAATGGGTGGTATTGTCTTTTCTAAGCTAATATATCCGGCTAAGCCTCCTAGGCTCAAGTTGCTAGAGCACGGATTTACTGACTCATACAGCCCAGGGTTTCTGGTATGTTTAAATCAGGTCAAACGCTCATGTCCAAACCTATTGACTGTGCGATCTTTGGTCCGGAGGTGCTTTCGGGTCAGTCGAAGTACAGTTGTTTCTCCTAATTCACGTGGATTGTGTCCCAGAAATATGCGTGGTCCTGGAATGATAATGATCTTAAATGCCCATTTTCACAGTTTAAACCCAGAAGATGCTCCCCCAACACTGTAAGTGCGAGATGGCTTAGTGGTTAGAGCGCGATTTCACTGACCAGAAGGTCCGTGGTCCGAACCCGACCTCTGCATCGTGAGTTTTCCTGTCTGGGCTTGGGCAACCTGGCAGTATCCCAGCCCTCGTGCTTCCCTCGGGTGGCATAGCAGCTAGGCACCAGAAGGATGTTACATCTGAACCATCATTATTATTATTAGTATTATTATATTATTTATTATTATTATACTGGCTCCGAATGGTAATCGAGTTCCCGGCACTTCAATGCTCCGGTAACCACTTTTGAGTGACACATGGGTTACTTACTTTTTTAAAACCAACGTGATAACTTCGTAACATACAGCATGCTTTCCATTCCCTCCATATTTCACGATTTAGACAGGTCAATGGGATCACTTATCGGCGTTGGAACCTCCCACTCGATATCATGTCCAACTTATATCGTCTAGCGAACTCGCTTTTGACAGATCTGGTGGATGACAACTACTTTTACTTGTTTGACTTGAAGTCATTCTTCACCGCCAAAGCTCTTAACGTCGCTCTTCCTGGAGGCCCAAAGTTTGAACCACTGGTCAAAGACAAAAATTTGGAGTGAGTTTTCTCTTCTTCTCTAAGCTGATTTCTTAGGGACGAAGACTGGAATGAATTCAATGATATCAACAAAATAATCATCCGTCAGCCAATCCGCACTGAATATCGGATTGCCTTTCCTTACCTGTACAACAGCTATCCCTTTCAGGTTCACCTTTCATGGTACCATACTCCTAATGTATTATTCATTAAAACTGAAGACCCAGATTTACCAGCCTTTTATTTTGACCCGTTGATCAATCCGATTTCCCAGCGCCAGGGTGTGAAGGTTTGTCCTCGATAATTTTTCAATAATTTGTCTCTAGGCGCCCGAGGTTCTTCCAGCTGACGATGAGGAGTTTGAACTACCGGAAGATATGCGACCTTTCTTGAACGAAACACCTCTTTATTCTGATAACACAGCTAATGGTATCGCCCTGCTTTGGGCCCCAAGACCATTCTGCCTACGGTCTGGTTCCACTCGCCGGGCGATTGATGTTCCCCTGGTCCAGTCGTGGTACCGGGAACACTGTCCTGCAGTAATGCCAGTCAAGGTATTTGTGCTTCCTTTGTTTACTTGTTCCTTTTGCTTCAGGTTCGCGTCTCTTATCAAAAGCTTTTGAAATACTATGTCTTGAACGCTTTGCATCATCGACGTCCAAAGCCACAGAAGAAACGCTATTTGTTCCGATCGTTCAAAGCTACGAAGTTTTTCCAAATCACCAGTTTAGATTGGGTAGAGGTTGGTCTGCAGGTTTGTAGACAAGGGTACAACATGCTGAACCTACTGATTCACCGCAAAAATTTGAATTATCTACATTTGGACTACAACTTCAACCTGAAACCAGTGAAAACGCTCACGACGAAGGAACGCAAAAAGTCACGATTCGGTAATGCTTTCCATCTATGCAGAGAAATTTTGCGTCTCACGAAGCTCATCGTGGATAGCCATGTCCAGTACCGTCTCGGTAATGTGGATGCCTTCCAGGTGAGTAATAAATCGGTTCAGTCGGTTTTCTGTTCATTGAGGATGATATCGCAGGGGTCCGGAATGCTGTCATTCATGTGGACAGCGTGATACCATAGTTCATTGGCTTCCTTGTAGTAGCATTGAACTCGGTGTCATGACACTGCACCTTCTGACATAACACTCGTTGCCAAAAATGCCAAATAGCTCTTTTGACCGTTTGATTTCCATCTCCTTCTAGCTCGCTGATGGTTTGCAGTATATCTTCGCGCACGTCGGTCAACTGACCGGTATGTACCGTTACAAGTATAAGTTGATGCGTCAGATTCGGATGTGCAAGGACTTGAAGCATGTGATTTACTATCGGTTCAACACTGGTCCTGTTGGTAAGGGTCCTGGTGTAGGCTTCTGGGCTCCTGGTTGGCGAGTATGGATGTTTTTCATGCGTGGCATCACGCCACTTCTGGAGCGGTGGCTTGGCAATCTTTTGTCACGTCAGTTCGAGGGTCGACACTCAAAGGGTGTTGCCAAGACGGTTACGAAGCAACGCGTGGAGTCGCACTACGATTTGGAGCTCAGGGCGGCAGTGATGCACGACATCCTGGATATGATGCCCGAGGGTATCAAGCAGAACAAGGCACGAACTATCTTGCAGCATTTGAGTGAGGCGTGGCGATGTTGGAAGGCTAATATTCCTTGGAAGGTCAGTTTACCTGCAATTTTTCGTCCGCTATTACCAGATTCCAGCTCATGCATGGTTGGTTTGCCCTGGTTTCTGCACCACACCGTAGCAGAGAGTGCCTTTAAATACAAAACCCATATACAGCGTGTCCATCCATAGCAAGTGCGCCATATTGGGGTTTTAGTGGGTCTCATCAATTTTTTGTTGAGACCGGAATGGATACCACCTTTCTAACAGCAACTATGAAAGTGAATGTACGCAGCAGTCCCTCTTGCGGTAACCTCCCAAAATGGAGCAGCCGTTACTGAGGGGTCGACTTAGGCGAACTGAATCACTTTTACAGGATACCTTGCATACGCAACAGGCACAGTCTTATGAGGAGCGTTCTTCCCCAATATGAAATGCTGTTTTATCAGTAAATCAGATAATTACACCTTTCGGTAAGATTGAGCTCGGGGTAGCTCAGTGTTTAAAGCGCGAACTTACTGACCGGAAATTCTGTGATCCCAACTCAACCTCAGTTGCTCTTGTCTAGGCACCAAAGGGTGTTACAGCTGAACGATTGGTGAAAGATTACCATGTCGTACCTGCAAACTTCTGGACACAATTGCGGGGGACCAACAAAGCGAAGCGAAAACATCTTGCTTGTTAGGGATAGTTAACCGACCCGTGTATATCGACCTGGGAGTACGGCAAACCGGGTTAGCCTACTGAAGCCGTTTTGCTATTGGTTATTGGTGCAGTCAATTCCATGTGGGCAACAAGTTTCTGTTCACCATAACTTGTAAATATCATAGGGGCTACTCTGGGTTTTTGTATCACGGTTAGCTGGATGAGTTAATTGAGTATGACATTGTTCTCGAGTTGATGGATGACGTTTTCACTGTGGCATGTTTGCCTGTCAGAACAGCTTGGTTGGATGTATAAGACGAGTCATTTTCACTCGGTGCCTGTGGTGTTGGAAGAAAGGATTTGTTTATCCTTCAGATCCATTATTGTGCCCTTGTACCTTTGCCTCAACTGGAGATGCATTCCTCATTCATGATTGACCGCATAACTGCTTCCGTTTGTGAGAAGAGTCTCCGATGTGACATTCCTGTTCGCTTGGGGAAACGGTTGTCTATCTGTCATAGTGCGTGTCTTTAGCAACGCACTCGTGGGTTATTCAACTGGTCATTGGTGTTGAATAAGAATAATTTGCGTACTAAATGGTGCGAGCATGATATTCAATGGAGATTCAAAAGAACCTATCGTTTGTATGTTCTTTATCCAAGCGTGGGGCGAGATGGCCTAAGTGGTTAGAGCGCGAATTTACTGACCGTAAGGTCCGTGGTTCGAATCCGACCTCCCCCACTCGACTTCCCCTTTCTAGGCTTGGGCTTCCTTGCAGTATCCCAGCTCTCGTGCTTCTTTCGGGTGGCATGGCAGCTAAGCACCGGAAGGGTGCTACAGCTGAACGCTTCTTCTTTATCCAAGCGTGCAATACAGAAGCTGCCTCCGGGCTCAGTTGGACAGATATTCAAAATATGGAAGCATCACAAGTTATTGAGGATATAGGCAACGAAATCTTTCAGAAGAAACTTAAAGACTTTGTCTAGTTCCGGTGTTCAGTGACTAATTATCTCTTCTATAGAGGAAAATGTCGGTAGCTCAGGTAGCGTAGATGGTGGCCGTTGACTTGTTCGCTGAGCTGGGCAATTTGATTGCAAACGTTTCATCACCAATCGAGGTGACATCATCAGTGCGTCATTAGGGAGCGCAGTACTGCGTAGCGGTGGGTTAGTGGTTGTGCGGTGTTTCAAGACGGTTTGCTAACTATTGAAAGTCATTGTGGACTAGATTTCTTGAATTCCTTCTCAGCTCGCTCTCAGCAAGCAGTGGAACAAGCGACCCCGTTCAACATTGGTTGTTGGTGTGGGGACTACTGTGTCTTCTTTCACTTTACAATGGTCGGTCTCTGCCCCTTTTCTAAAATCGAGGAGTAAACGCGTATGCTATCATGCTGTATGTTTTCACCAACGTTAGGACGTCAGATTACGACATTTCTGGAACGGTGTCAATCGTCGGTCCCTGTTTAGTGATTGTGAGATGGTTTACCCATAAACACTAATTATCCCGCTCCACCAGCGAAAATGAGCCTCCCATGCAGTGCCGCTGCATTCTATTTGTGCAGCTGATGCATGGTAGTTCATCCGTGAGTTTCCACAATATCTCCGATTAGGAAAAGCTTATTCCGACTACTTACTCATCATCAGAGACAGCAAACTCAATGTTGAGGCTGATGCTTCACTGCCGCATGCGATCCCAGTTTGCTTATGGCTAACCGGAACGTCATTTTTGGTTCACCCGGTCACAAGTGGCGTGTAATAATACGAGGATTTTGTGTATATCTCCCTAATTTACAGGTTCCGAACATGCCTATCCCTATTGAGAACATGATTTTGCGATACGTTAAGGCAAAGGCTGACTGGTGGACAAACACGGCCCACTATAACCGAGAACGAATTCGACGTGGCGCCACCGTGGATAAGACTGTGTGCAAAAAAAACTTGGGTCGATTGACCCGGCTGTATTTGAAGGCCGAACAAGAGCGCCAACATAATTATTTGAAGGTAAGTTATAAATTTATCCCAGGCTCAAATGCCTACTAGCGAACCTATAGACCTAACTCATTTGATCGCTGCTTACTGTATGATCCATACTCTTCCTCTTACAGGATGGTCCCTACGTGACAGCCGAAGAGGCGGTCGCCATCTACACCACAACGGTTCATTGGTTAGAAAGTCGTCGGTTCTCTCCAATACCATTCCCACCCTTGAGTTACAAGCACGATACAAAGCTGCTCATTCTGGCTCTGGAACGCCTGCGAGAATCTTATAGTGTGAAAAATCGTCTGAACCAGTCGCAGCGTGAAGAATTGGGTCTTATTGAACAAGCATATGATAACCCACACGAAGCTTTGAGTCGTATCAAGCGTCATTTACTCACTCAGCGTGCTTTTAAGGAAGTTGGAATTGAGTTCATGGATCTGTATAGCCACCTAATTCCTGTTTATGACGTTGAACCCCTTGAGAAGATCACTGATGCTTACCTGGACCAGTACCTGTGGTACGAAGCTGACAAACGCCGACTATTTCCCCCCTGGATCAAACCTGCCGACCTCGAACCACCACCTCTGCTGGTATATAAATGGTGTCAGGGCCTGAACAACCTCAAGGTATGTATTCTTTCATTACTGAACTATACTTTTTCACTGTGAACACCAATGTTTTCACGCTGGTGTAGTAGTTAGTGATAATGATATTGCGCCTCGGTTTTGTGAAGCTCTATGCACATACGCTGGTAACGTCCATCCTGTAAGATTGTTGCTTCCGGACTATGCTCTCGTCTCCGTTTCGGGGACCGTCAGTTACCTGTTTCGGCTTATAATAATTACAACGGGAGTTGAAATAAAAAATGGAATGATCATTCATCCGTGACACTCTTTTGGGGCCCAACTACCATACCACCTGAAGGAAGCACGAGGGCTGAGATACTGTCAGGTTGCCCAAGCCTGGGCAGGAGAAGTCGAGATGCAGAGATCAGGTTCGAACACGGACCTGAACTCTGTATAATGCACTAGTTAAATTAATGCGGCTGCGAATTGGGATAGAGGAAGTGAACTTGTAGGAATATAACATGAGTTGCAACCGACTCGAACCTTTCGATCAAAAGCAGTTGAAACGCAGGATGCTTGTCCATAGTAGGCGTTCTGTGTAGAGCCAAATGTGGTGCTACATGCCAGCTGCTGATGCCAATGTTAACCCTGGGAGAAAACGCTTAGATCTAATGATATCACAACAGTGCTTACCAGCACTAGTTTCTGTACACCAAGTCACTGGCGTTATCCGTCAGTTTCTCTCAGGTTAACGGAATCCACACTTCCCCCCTCGCTAATAAACTACCGTAACTGTTGTTTGGAAAATATCCATTACCGGACTATTTGGGTTGACGGAACTAGCCAGGTGGTAAAGTAGCCGTGGCTATTGATACTGCCATTTCATAGTACGACAGTAGAGTTAAACAGGTGTGGAGTACGAACAAACTTACCTTGAGCACCTCACTGTCGATTCCGTGGTGGTTGAATTTCAGACGGTTTGACTAACTATTGAAAGTCATTGTGGACTAGATTTCTTGAATTCCTTCTCAGCTCGCTCTCAGCAAGCAGTGGAACAAGCGACCCCGTGCAACATTGGTTGTTGGTGTGGGGACTACTGTGTCTTCTTTCACTTTACAATGGTCGGTCTCTGCCCCTTTTCTAAAATCGAGGAGTAAACGCGTATGCTATCATGCTGTATGTTTTCACCAACGTTAGGACGTCAGATTACGACATTTCTGGAACGGTGTCAATCGTCGGTCCCTGTTTAGTGATTGTGAGATGGTTTACCCATAAACACTAATTATCCCGCTCCACCAGCGAAAATGAGCCTCCCATGCAGTGCCGCTGCATTCTATTTGTGCAGCTGATGCATGGTAGTTCATCCGTGAGTTTCCACAATATCTCCGATTAGGAAAAGCTTATTCCGACTACTTACTCATCATCAGAGACAGCAAACTCAATGTTGAGGCTGATGCTTCACTGCCGCATGCGATCCCAGTTTGCTTATGGCTAACCGGAACGTCATTTTTGGTTCACCCGGTCACAAGTGGCGTGTAATAATACGAGGATTTTGTGTATATCTCCCTAATTTACAGGTTCCGAACATGCCTATCCCTATTGAGAACATGATTTTGCGATACGTTAAGGCAAAGGCTGACTGGTGGACAAACACGGCCCACTATAACCGAGAACGAATTCGACGTGGCGCCACCGTGGATAAGACTGTGTGCAAAAAAAACTTGGGTCGATTGACCCGGCTGTATTTGAAGGCCGAACAAGAGCGCCAACATAATTATTTGAAGGTAAGTTATAAATTTATCCCAGGCTCAAATGCCTACTAGCGAACCTATAGACCTAACTCATTTGATCGCTGCTTACTGTATGATCCATACTCTTCCTCTTACAGGATGGTCCCTACGTGACAGCCGAAGAGGCGGTCGCCATCTACACCACAACGGTTCATTGGTTAGAAAGTCGTCGGTTCTCTCCAATACCATTCCCACCCTTGAGTTACAAGCACGATACAAAGCTGCTCATTCTGGCTCTGGAACGCCTGCGAGAATCTTATAGTGTGAAAAATCGTCTGAACCAGTCGCAGCGTGAAGAATTGGGTCTTATTGAACAAGCATATGATAACCCACACGAAGCTTTGAGTCGTATCAAGCGTCATTTACTCACTCAGCGTGCTTTTAAGGAAGTTGGAATTGAGTTCATGGATCTGTATAGCCACCTAATTCCTGTTTATGACGTTGAACCCCTTGAGAAGATCACTGATGCTTACCTGGACCAGTACCTGTGGTACGAAGCTGACAAACGCCGACTATTTCCCCCCTGGATCAAACCTGCCGACCTCGAACCACCACCTCTGCTGGTATATAAATGGTGTCAGGGCCTGAACAACCTCAAGGTATGTATTCTTTCACTACTGAACTATACTTTTTCACTGTGAACACCAATGTTTTCACGCTGGTGTAGTAGTTAGTGATAATGATATTGCGCCTCGGTTTTGTGAAGCTCTATGCACATACGCTGGTAACGTCCATCCTGTAAGATTGTTGCTTCCGGACTATGCTCTCGTCTCCGTTTCGGGGACCGTCAGTTACCTGTTTCGGCTTATAATAATTACAACGGGAGTTGAAATAAAAAATGGAATGATCATTCATCCGTGACACTCTTTTGGGGCCCAACTACCATACCACCTGAAGGAAGCACGAGGGCTGAGATACTGTCAGGTTGCCCAAGCCTGGGCAGGAGAAGTCGAGATGCAGAGATCAGGTTCGAACACGGACCTGAACTCTGTATAATGCACTAGTTAAATTAATGCGGCTGCGAATTGGGATAGAGGAAGTGAACTTGTAGGAATATAACATGAGTTGCAACCGACTCGAACCTTTCGATCAAAAGCAGTTGAAACGCAGGATGCTTGTCCATAGTAGGCGTTCTGTGTAGAGCCAAATGTGGTGCTACATGCCAGCTGCTGATGCCAATGTTAACCCTGGGAGAAAACGCTTAGATCTAATGATATCACAACAGTGCTTACCAGCACTAGTTTCTGTACACCAAGTCACTGGCGTTATCCGTCAGTTTCTCTCAGGTTAACGGAATCCACACTTCCCCCCTCGCTAATAAACTACCGTAACTGTTGTTTGGAAAATATCCATTACCGGACTATTTGGGTTGACGGAACTAGCCAGGTGGTAAAGTAGCCGTGGCTATTGATACTGCCATTTCATAGTACGACAGTAGAGTTAAACAGGTGTGGAGTACGAACAAACTTACCTTGAGCACCTCACTGTCGATTCCGTGGTGGTTGAAAATGAATGCGGCGGATCTCATCCTACTCAAGTATATGTGCACCCACATGGATGCTGTCAGCGATAACCTATCTTTTAATTGTTTGTTTGCTTCTCCAAACCGTCACAACACCTGTATCACAGATGGTCCACTTACAGTGTTCTAAAGGCTAGTCACACATTCATTCATCCCTTTCAGGATGTGTGGGAAACAGGCGAAGGCGAATGTAATGTCCTGTTGGAAACCAAATTTGAGAAGGTCTACGAGAAGATTGATCTCACTCTGCTGAATCGACTTCTAAGGCTAATTGTTGATCACAACATCGCCGACTACATGACAGCGAAAAACAACGTTGTGATCAATTACAAGGATATGAACCACACGAATAGCTATGGGATTATTCGTGGTCTTCAGTTTGCTTCTTTCATCACTCAGTACTATGGTCTCGTGTTGGATCTCCTTGTACTGGGATTGGAACGTGCAGCTGAAATGTGTGGTCCACCGCAGATGCCGAATGATTTCCTCCAATACCAGGTTAGTCCCTCGAGTTTACCGTGACACCGGAAAGAGCGTTTATCTTACTGACTCATCACATAGCTGTGCTGTCTTCCTAGTTCACTCATGAGATGTCACACGCTTTGCCGAAATATTTGCGGCGGTGCCCGATCACAACTTGTTTTCAAAACACTTCGCACGTTCCGTTTATCTACTGTGCTTTTCTTTTGATACATTTCCAGTTTTCAAGTTACTTCACTGGTCCTTCATGGGAATCCACAGCATACTTACTACTTCATGGTTGTTGAAACTGTGCATGTTTTCAGTGAGTAGACAACTAACGCATGTTCGTTTGTTACATCTCTTTAGGATACGGTGACGGAAATCGCCCATCCCATTCGGCTGTATTGCCGCTACATCGACCGCTTCTGGATGTTCTTCCGGTTCACCGCGGACGAAGCCCGAGATCTGATCCAACGCTATCTTACTGAGCACCCCGATCCAAACAACGAAAACATTGTTGGATATAACAATAAAAAGTGCTGGCCCCGTGACAGCCGAATGCGGTTGATGAAGCACGATGTCAACTTAGGTCGAGCTGTTTTCTGGGATATCAAGAATCGCCTACCCCGATCGATTACGACGATTGATTGGGATAGCAGCTTCGTTTCAGTCTATAGCAAGGACAATCCAAATCTCCTGTTTTCCATGTCAGGTTTTGAGTGCCGTATTCTACCCGCTTGCCGTGCTCCCAACCAAGCTGCTGATGCTAACCTTCCGAGTGGCGTATGGCATCTTCAAAATGAAGCAAGTTCACATTTCGTACTTATGTAGCTATTATCTAATTGGTTGTCACCTGTGCCTCACGCATCGTATGATCTCTGCATACAAAACTCACTAGAATTAGCAATATAGGTCACAAGATAATTTAAAAGAATTCGGGCGGCGAAAGGGTATGATTGGTTTTTTTCGTTTTGTTTTTTTTTCTTATCACACAATTTGTATCTCTCTGTAAACATAGGTCACAAAAGAGCGCACTGCACAGTGTTTCTTGCGTGTGGATGAGGAATCTATGCAGCGTTTCCACAACCGGGTTCGTCAGATCCTTATGGCCTCAGGATCTACCACATTCACCAAGATTGTTAACAAGTGGAACACTGCCCTTATTTCTCTGTAAACATAGGTCACAAAAGAGCGCACTGCACAGTGTTTCTTGCGTGTGGATGAGGAATCTATGCAGCGTTTCCACAACCGGGTTCGTCAGATCCTTATGGCCTCAGGATCTACCACATTCACCAAGATTGTTAACAAGTGGAACACTGCCCTTATTGGACTCATGACTTACTATCGAGAGGCTGCCGTCAGCACTGTCGCACTGTTGGACTTGCTCGTGAAATGTGAGAACAAAATTCAAACTCGCATAAAAATTGGACTGAACTCCAAGATGCCTGCACGTTTCCCGCCTGTTGTATTCTATACTCCGAAGGTAAGTTCCACTCTGTTCGTTTTATCCATGCGACTGGGTTTCAGATCAACTTCATTAGAATGTATGAATTTTCTGATGAGCACAAGTCATCACTTTCTCACCCTCATACAATCTTTTGGTATGCTGGTTTACGCTTAAAGTCGTTTCAGTCCACAATGCCTGTCAATGGTATCAGCTCTTCATTGCTGCCCAGCAGTGTATGGGTGGTGGGAGATGATTAGATGCTGGAACTGGTTTGCGGGTGCTTTTGACTTGATGCTGTCAATTGTTTACGCTGTCTTGTTCACGTTTGTTCAGAAAACATTTTGCTGTTACTCGCCTCCTTTATTTATCCCTGTGGCGAACATTGACCTCATGGCACCTTGTTGAACTTTAGGAACTTGGTGGACTCGGCATGTTGAGTATGGGGCATGTTCTCATCCCTCAGTCCGATCTCCGCTGGTCTAAACAAACCGATGTGGGGATCACACACTTCCGTTCAGGCATGAGTCACGAAGAAGATCAAGTTATTCCGAACCTGTTCTCCTACATTCTCACTTGGGAAACTGAGTTTCGAGACTCGCAAAGCGTGTGGGCGGAGTACGCGCTGAAACGTCAAGAGGCAAACGCACAAAACAGGCAAGTTGTTGGCATGTTAGCTATTGTCCTGTGTTAATTAACATCATATCCTCTTATGGTTGTGATTACTAGTATTGTGGTGCAGTTGTTCCAAAAGAATACAATTTGCAGCAAGTGGACTGTGGATGGCTTCAGCTTTATTATCGAAGGCATGAACCGTCTTGTTTGTCCATAACGCAATGTGATGTTCTTTCATGCTATCGCGTGCAGTACTTCAGAATCATCATTCAGGTGGAATAATTCCGATCCCGTCAGTCCGCGGCTACATAATATCAAAACTTGAACTATCATGACCTTTTCTCGTTTTCGAAGACATGAAGTGTACTGTCTAGTGCTCACAATATCGGTTGATGAAGAAACAATCATGAACTCAATCAGTCAGTTGTGTCGTCCCACCTCGTAGTGCAATCGCTCGTGTGCCTCAGTTCGAAGACATCGTAATCCCGATGGTGCCCAACAGTTGTTATTTGTTTGGAGTTATTCTTCAGATGAAGCACGGTTCGGGTAATCGTCTCGTGGTACCGTCATAAATGTGGACCTCCAAACCGCACTGTTCATCTTGGGTTGTTATGTGTTTTGTGCCTTTATATGAAAATCTGACCCTCATCTAAAGCTGTTCTGTGAGTTCTAAATTTTATTTCATTTTCTGCCTCGCTCAGACGATTGACGTTGGAAGACCTCGAGGATAGTTGGGATCGTGGGATTCCACGTATCAATACGCTGTTTCAAAAAGACCGTCACACCCTGGCCTATGACAAAGGTTGGCGTGTACGCACCGAGTTCAAGCAATACCAAGTTCTCAAGCAGAACCCATTTTGGTGGACCCATCAGCGTCACGATGGCAAGCTGTGGAACCTGAACAACTACCGTACCGATATGATACAAGCTCTCGGGGGTGTCGAAGGCATTTTGGAACATACGCTGTTCAAGGGAACTTATTTCCCTACCTGGGAAGGTCTGTTTTGGTAAGTCACCTCCCATAGACGTTCAGGCTGACCTCGACTCTGAAGTATCACAGTTGTGCTTCACCCTAGGATATCCATCGTACTCTATAGTCCTTCCCTTCTTACCAATATTCACATACAACCCTTTTTTGTGCTCTTTGTAGGGAGAAAGCCAGCGGTTTTGAGGAATCGATGAAGTACAAAAAATTGACCAACGCCCAGCGTTCTGGTTTGAACCAGATTCCCAACCGCCGTTTCACGTTGTGGTGGTCACCGACCATCAATCGAGCCAACGTATGTTCTCTCATGAAGCTAGCCTTCCATGCTTACTTGTTTGTTCACCCCAGTGTAGTTGATATGACTCCCTGTTCATTCAAGTGCTACATCTTAAGGCCATTATTCATAGATCTATTATGCTTATATGTACCAGTTTTCTTTTAAAACTTCTACGGTTTTCCTAAGTTCTAACTTACCTTTCATTGTCTTCTAGGTGTACGTTGGTTTCCAAGTACAACTCGACTTGACTGGGATTTTTATGCACGGGAAGATCCCCACTCTCAAAATCTCGCTAATTCAAATTTTCCGGGCTCATCTGTGGCAAAAGATTCATGAGTCTGTTGTGATGGATATTTGCCAAGTTTTTGATCAAGAACTGGATGCCTTAGAAATTGAAACAGTACAGAAGGAGACCATTCACCCCAGAAAGTCATACAAAATGAACTCCAGCTGCGCCGATATTCTTTTGTTCGCGTCTTACAAGTGGCCCGTATCACGACCTAGTCTATTAGCCGACTCAAAGTGAGTGTTTGTACGTGCATTCAGGCTTTCACTTCTGAGCTATTTCGTCCTACACACCATAAACTTTACCTCCCTCCACTTCAGAGATCTCATGGATGGCACAACAACGCAGAAGTTCTGGATCGACATCCAACTCCGTTGGGGTGACTACGATTCACACGATATTGAACGCTACGCTCGAGCCAAGTTTTTGGACTATACGACCGACAACATGTCCATCTATCCATCCCCAACCGGTGTCATGATTGCCATTGATTTGGCTTATAATCTTCACAGGTATGGACGGGGACTTCCGTTTTGTTACTTACTATTTGCTAATATGAACGTGTTTGCTTACGGGCTAGTGTGCGTCATCGGAGTTCATATGCAACCGGTCAGGTTGCTTCCCACCAAACACGGGACTTCCTTTGTTTACTGGAAACTGTTTTGTTACCCTGATGAGTTGGGCTGAAGGAACTGTGTGTTAGGTTTCTTCTGAGCTTCTCGATTGTTTTTTTTTGGTACAATTCACTTCTAGAGTTATCTTGTTGGGCTCCTCGGCCATCTTCTGAGCTCCCCAATGGTTTTTTTTGGTACAATTCACTTCTAGAGTTATCTTGTTGGGCTCCTCGGCCATAATTCAGTGTTCCTCTCATATGAAACACCTTGGGTCTATTACCTAAAATCACTCAAGGAATGTATCGATGTCTCGGCATGGGTCGAATGAAAAGATACCTTTTATGCTACTGTGTTTAGGAGAAAATCTAATTTGACGTCCAAGGCTCTTCCTCCGGGCTACTTGGTTGGCTTAGTACTCTAGGACTATGGGAAATGCGATCCACAAGTATGATAAGAACACCAAAGACGTATTCAACCATGATTGTTGATTTTCCGATAAATTAGAAAATACAGGTTGACAAATTGGTACCATTCGTGACGGGCCCATTTCACACGAATTTGTAAAGACGAGAACGTTAGTTCTTGCTCGGTTTTCCCATTGAACATTTGTGAGTCACGAAGCGTGTTTCTTTGGCGTATTGCTTGGAGGCTTCTTGCGAATGGGGAGAACCGTATCCGTTGGAATCCAACGGAGTAGTGTCTACAATAGTATTTGCTTTGCCTGTCCGGAATCCGCTTAGCAGAGTACAGTCTGGAAAACATCAGATGAGCAAAATTGTGCAGTCTAACTCAACAACCATGAGAGCCCAACTGGAAATCGGAGCATCAACATCCTGATTTACCTCAGCGTGCTTAGCTGCTTGACTCCTCATTCAGCCCAAGTCGACTGAGCAGGGTTTCTGGTTTGTCCAAATGTTACCAAATGCTTATATCCAAGTGTACTGGCTGTGCGATCCTTGGTCCAGAGATGCTTTTGAGTCAGTTGAAGTACAGTTCTCCTAATTCACGCGTGGTCCTCGAATGATAACGATCTTAAATGCCCATTTTCATAGTTTAAACCCAGAACATGCTGCCCTGACACTGTAAGTGCCAGATGGCTTAGTGGTTAGAGCACGATTTCACTGACCAGAGGGTCTGTGGTTCGAAGCTGACCTCTGCATCACGAGTTCTTCTGTCTGAGATTGGGCAACCTGGCAGTATCCCAGCCCTTGCGCTTCCTTTGACTGGCATGGCTTTCAAGCACCGGAATGGTGTTACTACTAAACGATTTATTTATTTATTTATTTATTTTTCATCCCTAAAAGAAAGCGTAAAAATAACCGTGTAATGTGCATTGCACGCACAATATACTGAAGGTAGCTCCTTTTTTGTCATATTTAAATGAAAATTTAGCTTTTGTTACGAAATCAGTAGAATATGGTGCTCTTAATAAGCTTGCAATAAAATATATGATTATTCATTGTCGCTAAAAAATCTGCAGAAAATTGCGACTACATTGTAATGGAAAATTCGCCGACGGTTAAAGCTGCGAATTTACGGGCCTCCAGTCTACTATCGTATCGGTCGCTGATTCTTCTAGTTACAAATGAGGTGCCACCAAGTTAAGGGATATGACCCCCTCATTGTTGCTTAATGTGGCCTCAAACCACGATAAGTCAGTGTTTTCTAACCGGAGTATAGGTCCGTTTCTCCTACGGTTCCGTTTTTCGTTCGCCACTGATAACTCGAAGTTCAGTAACTCATTCATCCACTTGACTTGATTCGCAAACGCATTGTGTCAAAAACCTTTCTTTGCATTCAGCTAGTGGCATTATTCCACTTTTTACTTTCTCTTCAGTGCCTACGGAAATTGGTTCCCCGGGTGTAAACCTCTAATTCAGCAAGCCATGGTGAAAATCATGAAGGCCAACCCGGCACTCTACGTATTACGAGAGCGTATACGTAAAGCGCTGCAGCTGTATTCGAGTGAACCGACTGAGCCATATTTGAGTTCTCAGAATTACAATGAGTTGTTCTCCAATCAAATAATCTGGTTTGTTGATGACACGAACGTGTATCGCGTAACCATACATAAAGTGAGTTATCCTTCTTTGGCAGTTTCGGAAGCATTTTTTTGTCCGTGACATGTTGCTGGTGAGTATTGTAGGGAACTGTGCCGTATGTCTGAGCGGTGCTTTCTCATTTCTTCACTGGTTTCGATCAGCTAACTTAAGGATTGCGTTAGGTCCGACCGCCGACCTAACAGCAATTCTCGCCGATGCCACTCAACAGCTACTCGTTACAAGTGCCCAACTGTCACGCAGTTCAACATCCGTCCACGCAATACTTCGCTGTGATTCGTCATAAAGCAGGATGACGGCCGCCGTTATATCCCCTTCACGGACCTTCAGTCTCGGTGACATTTCTGACAATGTTTTGGCACCGTATCCCGAAAGTAGAAAGCAAAGTCTTTAAGAAGTAGTCGGAACAAATTATTTAAAGATGTTGGAAATTAGAGCAAACTTGGTCCATATTCGAAGATATCAGCAACATGAGGCCTTTGGCATTATTTTTGCTCATCGTGTAGGAATCAGATATGTACTGCTTGACTGGAAGACTACGTGCCCGCGCAGTTAATTTAGGCGCTACGTTTCTGACGAGCTTTTTGATTTAGATAACTTTTCCACTCTTAGGTCGTTAGATTCAAAATAGAGATGTTGATCGGGTTACCATACAGCTTCTTATTGTGAACAGGTGTCGAGAAGTCACCCGGCCACCGACCATACGTAAGTAGCGGGTTCTGATTGTGTGACTGACCGTAACCAGCCGTTAACTTCGGAAAGTCAGTTTTGTATCTCCATCATCTCGGAGATCGAACTGCGCTGTAATAGTGCAACTGTTGAACCGTAACGACCTTTCGGTGTCTAGCTGCCATACCACTCGAGGGCTTAGATGCTGCCAGGTTACCCCAGTCTAGCCAGGAACAGTCGAGACACCGAGGTTGGATTCGAAGCACGGACCTCCCAGTAATTGCGTACCTTAACCACTGAGATATCTCGAGATTGATCACACGGTGTACTTCAACTGTAACCGGATAGAATTTAAGAGTCAAGCGAACTCAGCCATGTGAAACGTCATTTAGTGGACACTGAAGGTTATCAGTATTTCTGAGTTGAATTTTTAGCCAAAAGATAATCACTTCTCTACAGCTGTGTGGTTTTGGATAGTCGGCCTATCAGGTAGGATCACTTTTTCGGAAGTTGCCTTAAACGACTGTCCGTGTGCGACAGATCCACAGCTTCGTACCGTGAAGACAAACTTTTAATGACCTAATCCCTTCGTTCTCACTATTTCTAGTTTTGTTCTGTTTCCCTTGTTCGTTGAACAGACCTTTGAAGGTAACCTGACAACAAAACCCATCAATGGAGCCATCTTTATCTTCAATCCTCGGACAGGACAGCTGTTCTTGAAGATCATTCACACATCCGTTTGGGCTGGACAAAAGCGTTTGGGTCAGCTGGCCAAATGGAAGACAGCTGAAGAAGTCGCCGCCCTGATTCGCTCGTTGCCAGTCGAAGAGCAACCGAAGCAAATCATCGTCACTCGCAAAGGCATGTTGGATCCCTTGGAAGTCCATCTTCTGGATTTCCCTAATATTGTCATCAAAGTAAGTCTTCCCTCTGAGATCGCAGCAACTGAAAGTGCTCTTTACTTTCGCACCTCGTAACCCACATTGAACTGATATTTTTATCCTTCAAAACAACCTCAGAACCGAGTCTTTTATTCTCACTTTCCAGGGCTCAGAACTTCAGTTGCCTTTTCAGGCCTGCTTAAAGGTCGAAAAGTTTGGTGACCTGATTCTTAAGGCCTCTGAACCTCAAATGGTCCTATTCAACTTGTATGACGATTGGCTGAAAAGCATCAGCTCTTATACGGCATTTTCGCGGCTCATTTTGATTCTTCGGGCCTTACATGTGAACAACGATAAAGCCAAGATTGTTCTCAAGCCAGATAAGACCACTGTCACTGAACCCCATCACATTTGGCCGACGCTGAGTCCGGACGACTGGATCAAGGTTGAGTATCAGTTGAAAGATCTCATTCTTACTGATTATGGCAAAAAGAATAAGTGAGTGTAACTGGGTGCCTGCTGTGTTTTCTTCACAGTGTTTACGTTTTCTCATGTTTCCCAGCAGTGTCAATCACTTTTTTCTATTCAAACATGTTATGTACATCAGTATCTGTAACGATGTCGTACTGCTACATCTCACTCGTGCGAACGCCATTGCTTTACCTGTCACTCTGTCTGTCATGTCTTACGTACTCTCTTTTCATAGCGTCAATGTGGCTTCGTTAACTCAGTCGGAAATCCGCGATATTATTTTGGGTATGGAAATCTCCGCACCATCTCAACAACGTCAGCAAATAGCTGAAATTGAGAAACAGGCTAAGGAACAGTCTCAACTCACCGCGACTACAACCCGTACGGTGAACAAACATGGCGACGAGATCATCTCAACGACCACGTCGAATTATGAAACACTGCACTTCAGCAGCAAAACCGAATGGCGCATTCGTGCAATTTCAGCCACGAATTTATACCTGCGTACGAACAACATTTACGTTAGTTCGGACGATATCAAGGAGAATGGCTATACTTACATTCTTCCTAAGAATATCTTGAAGAAGTTTATAACGATTTCGGATCTTCGAACTCAAGTAAGTTACGAACCAGTTCTTTCGGGTTGTACATCACGACAAGTCCAATCTGTCTGTACTTCACTCATTTGTTTTTCTTACAGATCTCCGGTTACTTGTACGGCGTGTCCCCAGCAGACAATTCACAGATCAAAGAAATTAGGTGTATCGTGATGCCTCCACAATGGGGCACGCACCAGACGGTTCATCTGCCTAATGGTCTCCCTCAGGATGAATACCTTCGTGAAATGGAGCCTTTGGGATGGATTCATACCCAACCTAATGAGTTGCCACAGCTCTCGCCTCAGGTACCTGAACAGTTTTTCTCTATTTTGTTCCGTTTGACTCCATGCGTCACCCTCCGACACGCCAGCAACCTTATTTTGTGAAAAATGATGTGCTCTATGGGAGCAGGTTCAGATGTTTTTTTTACTACAAGTTGTTTTGTGTGATGACTGTCCGCCTGTAGAAGTTGGAGCTCATTTGTAATCTGATAGAGTACTATTTTCAGTATCCTGTATCGTCGAGAAGCATTGTGTTTAATCAATACTCATTAATGCCTTGCTGTTATCTGCCTGTTTTCAGGATATCACCACGCATGCAAAGATATTCTCAGAACAAGACGGTGAAAAAACTATCGTCATCACTTGCAGTTTCACTCCCGGTTCCGTCTCACTGTGCGCTTATAAGCTCACCCCAGGTGGGTACGAGTGGGGTCGACAGAACACTGATAAGGGTAATAACCCCAAGGGTTATTTGCCGAGTCACTACGAGCGTGTCCAAATGCTACTGTCCGACAGGTTTCTCGGGTTCTTTATGGTACCCCCACAGACTTCTTGGAACTATAATTTTATGGGTAAGTCTTTCAGCCGGGTGATAGAACACATTCTTATTGGCATCCCCACGCGCATTTCCGTTCGTATGTTTTTCATCAGTTTTGCTGTAAATATTGAACTCTTAGGTGATACTCTGTTGTGTTCCCTCGTCTAACTGAACCCCACCTTGGGTCTCCAGGACGAATAGCTCTCCGGATGATTTATTTCCCTTCAGTTTACTTTTTTAACTGGTTATTCATTTTTCCACTATCTTCCTTCTGAACTCCAAGTGCGTCTTGCGCCCCATATCGACCCATATATTGGATAAGTGTCCTTTTTCGGAAGTAATGTCTAGATGACTCTTGAGGCACCCACTATACAGCTTTTTCCCTAAACTTGAAATCAGGCAGTGTTCGCTCTTGCTTCCCTGAACCAGCTTTTGCATCATGCCACCATACCTAGTCCCTTTACGCGAATTGCAAAGGGGCAGTCTTATTTTGGGTAATTCACTAGTTTATGTACATTAGGTTGCGTCTTTAGTCATTCACCTTTGTTGTGTGCTTTCTCTGAATGCGCCGTTACCGTTGAGTACTCCTCTATCCCTTGTATCTGAGCCGCTCATGAGGTGGAAATCTTCAATAGTTGTGAGTCGCCGTCCTGGTTTTTCATCCCATTGCAACCATTTTTTATTTATAACCTTGATTTTACATCTCTGCAGGTGTTCGCCATGACCCTAACATGAAATATGAACTACAGCCGCTGAAGCCGAAGAAATTCTATCATCGCATCCATCGGCCTTCCCATTTCTTAAACTTTACTTCAATCGAAGAAAGTGAACTGGCATCTGCTGATCGTGATAATCCTTTTGCCTGATTTTTCACGTGTTTGGCACTAATCTGTGTTCACCGTGTGCTCCTGTACATTACACTTTTACCGAAAATACATACATACATTTTGCCCGGTGTGTATACTATGACCAGTGGTCACTGGAGCTTACGGGCTGAGTCCAGTATTTATTCAAGAGATGTTAGGACTTGCTAATTCGTTTCTGTAGTTGTAGTTTGGCCCTACATTCTGGGCGAGATGGCTCAGTGGTTGGAGCACGAATTTACTGATCGAAAGGTCTGTGGTTCGACTTCTAGGCTTGTGCAACCTGCCAGTAGCCCCAGCCCTCGTGCTTCCTTCAGGTGGCATGGGAGCTAGGCGCTAAAGTTGCATGAAGAGGAAAAGTAAGGCTGGACTTCACTTTTTATTCGGAATTCACTCGTAAAAGGTGAACTAATCATTTGCTCTATTCACATATGTAAACAATACTATTCCATAGAAATAGGCTGACTGAGAACACAGGAGATGGAAGGGATGTTTAAAAATAGAGCTTACAAGCCCCGGCCGTAGCAGGCTGTGAAATGTTTTCAAATACAGAAAACACTCTAACGGACTCGTTGACGCCACAGAAGTTCGTTATAGAGAGAAGCATCACATCGCACTCGCAGTGACTCGTCACAACGGTCCACTGCCGTACAGATTGTCGTGAATGGCTTGTCAGCACCGCACAAACTCATACAGGTGTATTGAAGGAAAAAATCCTGGACTTTTTTCAGCGAAAGCATCTTTCCGTTCTCGCTCCCGTCATCCCTGTCCCTCGACAAATTCAGCAGAATTCGTATTGTGAAAAAATTCGAATTGTTTGCACACTTCGTGCCACGTATGAACAGTCAAAGTATGGATAAGGACTTGCTATTATATGGGAATTGAGACTTCAATAATTGAAGCCTTTTTCTGACCTGATCTGTTCAAAATAGTAACAATCCAAATTGCAACTTCGTAGAGTTAGATGTCATGTAGGGCTTCGCACCCCAGGTAACCGATTCACCATTATGTTCGAACTGTTTTATTCCTATGAAGCAAAAGTTCTGAACTCGAACTGTGTTGTATCTAGCTGTTGTACCCGCCTCAGTGTCGGGAAAGGACTCGTCAAGAGGGAACACAGCTCTATTGCATGTGCAAAAGTCGCAAGGGCCTTGCGGTGTTCTAAGGACGCTTGACGTTGATCAAGGCTGTCTGATCGGCGTTTGGTGAGCACCCATCCTCGGCCGTTGCTGAGTTTGTTGGTTGCTGGGGCGTTTGACTGGGAACTGACTTTTCTGGTCTGGATGTTTGGCCGCTTCCCTAGTGCGATTTTGGTGAGGTTTCAGTGTGTCAGTAGGCTTCGGACATTCTGAGACTGTTTTCAGGAATCTGCCCTCCTTCATACCTCCCCCTTTCGGCAATTTAACATAAGATTGTCGGAGCGGGTCAATTTGAAAGGGTTCCAACTGTTTCCTGACACGGTTTGTACAGCGTCTCGGTTGCAGCACTGGGTCTGTCGTGGGTGGCACAGGTGAAGTAATGGCTGTTGATGCTGACCCTGAAAGACCGAAGGTTCCGAGCAAGGTTTACTGATTGTTCTTCCGCTTTTGGGATCGCGCACTCAGTCGGTTGTAGTGAATTGGTACGCCGTTTTTCCGTCAAGAAGTGACTGGACCTTACCGTGTTGTGACGGTCTGTGCCTCCGTGACCCATTGAGCTATCCTGGGTGGCGTCCGTAGAGCACTCGCAGAGTTTGTCATGCCACTAGCGCAGTCTCCTGGCTCTCGGTGTTGGAGGTTCGGACATGTGTGGCGATTTGTTCCATAAAAATGGTAATTCACTTGCATTTCCCGGCAAACTGTTGCCTTGCGGCCAGACTTTTGAGCCAAAGACTTTGGTCGAGGACCCTAACCATCTTCCTAAGTCTGGGCACCCTGGCAGTAATCCAGCCCACGTACAATTAACGATACTTTCATTGCACATCGGATGTCACCATCCGGGTTGCCTTACTTTCTGCATGCAGCAGGACGGGTGAGCGAAAACATTCTAGTTCTGAGGCTTTCCTTCTTACACTCACGTTTTCCCTTATTTACCCATGCAAATTTGAACACTCCGCATCACACTCAGTTATACCTTCTGTACGTCCGACTTCAGTAACAGCCCTAAACACTTCAAAGTCTGTTTTCTGCTTAGATGTCTATAATGTTCGCACAGTGAAGCAGGCACAACAACAGATGCCTCCTGCTCGTATGCTGGATTGATGTATTGTCTGTCAGAAACTAAGATACCGGACACCAGTACTGTGACTGTACCCTCGCTGTCTTCCAGGTTCCGGTTGCACACTTCTGGTGATAGCAGCTGGTGTTGGTATTTTATTGAGCGACCGAGCGGAAGTGTCTCTATTGGATAAAAATAAAAAGAATAAATCGTTCAGCTGTAACACCCTTCCGGTGCCTAGTGCCATGCCACCCGAAGAAAGCACGAAGGCTGGGATACTACCAGGTTACCCAAGCCTAGGCAGGGAAGTCGAGAGACAGCGGTCGGGTTCGAACCACGGACCTTCTGGTTAGTAAATTCGCACTCTAACCACTTGACTGGAGCCATCCCCAATTTACTGGATACCAGCTAATAGTCCCCTCTGAGCAGTTCGTCTGGCAACGTCTCTTAGGGAATCTCGAGAAAGTGAGGTCCTTCGCGCCCTGTTTATTGTTACTACATACGCCACAACTGAATAGCTCGAAATCTGCCAAAGGCAGTTTCTGTGACGTTCTAGATGCTCTTTTACATCGAGCTAAAAACTCAGATATCGTTGTGGTTGGTTGTGACATGAATGCACAGGTAGGTAGACTAAGCGTTGCTGAGGCCGGCTTGGGTGGGGGTTGGACACGGACAACGGAGATCGCCTGCTCCAGTTGTCCGACCACATACTGTTCCTTCTCAGTACCGCTTTCCCGAACAGCGGAAATCGCTTGACAGCGTGATGCCCACCAATTAACTATCCCTGAATCCTAATGGACCACAACTCCGTCGGTACTGGTGGCGAGGGTCGATGACTGTCTGCCGTTTTTCGGGTCTACACAAAATGCGTACACCTTGCTAAGCCATTGAGAAGCTAATGGACCCAGAAATCAAGCGAAACTATCAGAACCGGCTCCTCGAACGCCTGCGGGACGGGACGGTGTCGGATACAAACGGTCATTTGTAAAATTATCCAAATTGCTACTCAAACCTAGAATCCTCTGTGCGGTACAACCCAGCCAACCTCATCCAAAGAAGTGATCTCCGATAGGATCTCCGCTTTACTGGAGGCCCGGCGGCGGAGTCCCCCTGGCTGCAACCACAGCTCCATCCGACGCCAGGTGAAACTGACTATCCGTACAGACCTAGGAGCTTGGTTTGCCCGAAAGGCCGAAGAAATGGAAGATGCAAAAATGCTGGTAATGTCCGCCAGCCGTTCCACTTGACTCGTTCAACGGGTCCTCGGAAGCCTCTTGCCACACTGTCATCACACCCCGTCAGGTGTGTACATGTACAGACAACCCACAATGTTGGTGTTCCTTAACTTCGAAAGTGCATTCGATTATGTAAACCTGTGTGTACTGGTAACTGCACTTTCTCAACGGAGTACGCCCCGAAAGTTTGTGAACATAATCCGATCCCTCTATTCACTTACTTTTGGTCTTGAGATTGAATGACGGGCTCTCCAAAAGCTTCCCTACATAAAACATATCCATGCCCTCTGTTCCTGTTCAACTCCGTCGATGAAATAATGAGGCCAACGCTGAAAGATCTTCAAAACGCTAATGTTCAAATTTTTGCTGGTGAGAACCTTGTTGATCTGGAGTATGCTGACAACATCATCCTTATCTTTTGAAGACCAGACAAAGCACAAGCCTTGTTGAATAGATTGCCCACCATCACACCATCTTTCGGCATGCGCCTTGCATTTCCAAAAGGAAAGTCGTGTTTCGGAACGTACAGCCTCTGAACATACTCCTTACAATTCAAGGAGAATCACTAGAGGTTGTGGAGAATTTCACATGCCTCGGTAATAGCCCTGACGGAAATGTATCTGATGATGTACGAATCACGTTTGATACTTTTCGTCAAAGTGGCATATCACTCGGTCTTAAGAATGGAGTGTACCAGGCTACAGTAAAGACTTTTGCTGTACGTCGCCTCTGCTGATATATGTGAGACGTCTTCACTTGACCACCTATGCCTCAGAAGCGTTGCTGATTTTGGATGGTTTCAACGCATTAGTAACGAGGTGATTAGAAAACTGGTATCTGGTTGTGCAGCAGGTACTTCGATCCCAGGGAGCATCCAACACCATCGGCTATGGTGGTTCGGCCATGTTCTACGCATGCCAAAACACCGTCTACCGAGAACGGTGTTGTTCTCCGTGCCTCAGTCAGAAATCGCTGAACTCGTGAGGTGGACAGTGTATGACTTGGCAAAAGGTTGTGAAGGTTTATGCAGAGTTTGAGTGTCGTCGGTGTAGTATAACCTCCAGGGTGGGATCCACATGACCCCGTCTGCGCTTAGCTGGGGGCACTGCAAGAAATGGTGGCCAATCGATTTCGTTTGCGTTCGTGCTGTGAGTTTCTTTCCAGATGGCTTGATTGAGCGTTTGGATGTGTAAGTTCCTCAGAATGCTTGACATGGGCCAATATAATACGTCCCCTCCCTCACCCACTCTTTTGCTCTTCTTTTCACTCTAAGACTTTAAATAAAATTAGGTGCACTTTATGGTTGCACGGAAATGAAGCATCAGTGTCAACACTGATATTAGTGTCTCTGATGGTGATGAGGGCATGCCTTTTCCATATCGATGATGCCACTCAGATGCTCTAAATCACCTTACCGATTCTTTTGAGGGCGACTCGAACAGTCGAGTTTCGGTGCCCCGGGTGTAGTCTCTCACAATCACACCGTTTCCAGACCGGAACGTTGGTTTCCTTCCCGTCGGTGATTGAAAGCACATTAATGTTGGCAGGATAACGTCATGAAAAAGTCTCAACTGTTTGCTCATCGTCATACCTGCTGAAAGCGACCGTAAGGAGACCGGATTGGGATTTGCTTCGGATGATTGACAACTTCTCTACT